CTCCGCGGCATGTGGGATCTTCCCGGACCGGGGCACGAAGCCGTGTCTCCTGCATCGGCAGGCGGACTCTCAACCACTGCGCCACCAGGGAAGCCCCTGGACTCATCTTTTTTTTCACCATCCCACATTCTGTCAGCTGTACTTTCAAGATATTCCCCAAATCCACCCACTTCTCATCAGCTGAATGGCTCTAACCTGGTCCTAGCCATTATCATTTTTTTGGTTGTTGTTGTTGCTGCATTAGCCTCCCAACTAGTCTCTTCCTGTGGTCCTTGTCCCCCTTCAGTCTATTCTCAACACAGCCCTCAATACTGTGGACATGGTGGTCATCTTAAGTTAGGTCATATCACTCATCATTTAAAGCCTTCCAAAGGCTTCCTATCTCACTCCAGATGAAAGCCAAACTCACACATGGCTTAAAGGGTACCTTAGCCTTGACCCTCTGACCTCTGGGATCTGGTCTATGACCACGCGCCTCCTCGCTCTCTGTGTATCCCCTCGCTACCCCATGCTGTTCCTTGAGAGAGCAAAGGCATGCTCCCGCTCCAGGATCTTTACCCTTCCTGTGCCCTCTTCCCTCAGGTGGACATGTGACTGTTCTCTCATTTCCTTCTTCACTCAAGTGTCGCTGTCTCGGTGAAGCCGTGTCTGATAAGGCTACCACTGCAACCTCTCCAGCATGCTTTTCTCCCTCCCGATGTTACCTCTCTTCCCAGCATGGTCTCTTTCCACCCTCACTGGGAAAATGTCCCACTAGGGCAGACGTTTTCTGTCCCCAGCACCTAGAACACTGCCTGGTCTAAGGAAGAGACTCAACGATTGGCTGAATAAACTGAATGAATGACAAATGCCTAAGTAATATATGACTTTAAATCCAAAGACGAGCCCTGTGAGGTCTAGTAGAATACATTCATAATACATGAGGAAGCTGAGGCTTGTGGCTGTCATCTTCAGATCTAGGTTCACCTCGGTTCTTTGTTGTCTCTCACTCTCAGCTCCCTCCCTACCTGCTTTCATGGTAACTCTGCCCGTCATCATCTTTTGCTTTGATTCTCACAAAGTCTTCTAATCCCCATACCTCTAGTCTGTGCTATTCCAATCTACCCTCTACACTGCAGCAAGACGAATTCCCCTGAGACAACAGTACCATGCTGTATGGCTTTGAGGTTAAGAGCATGGGCTCTGGAGCTATGCTGCTTAGGTTTGAATCTCAGCTCTGCCTACCAGCTGTCTGACCTTGAGCTAGTCATTGATCCCCTGCTTTGGGGATCAGTTTCATCACCTGTAAAATGGGGATTATAATAGAACCTATCTCACACAGTGATCATACCTGATCTATGGTAAATGCTTTGTAAGGGTTAGCAATAAATATCCTGAGGTCATTTCCCTGCTTAAGCATCCTCAAATGTACCCCTGGGCAGTAAGGTAAAGTCCAAATTCCTCTGTGGGGTACACAAGATCAATTGATGATTTCTCTGGCCAGCGAGTCAGGCCTGCCATACTGCTCCCGAGTCTGTGAACATTCTGTGCTGTTTGTCACTTTTGGAACTTAGTCGCTGTTGGAAGACACAGTCCATCTTGTATAACTGGCAACTCCTGCTGATGCTTTAAGAAGTAACTGAACTAGTCACCATCTCTGTGCAGCCCTTTCTCTACCCTCGGGCCCAGTCAATCATTCCCACCTCTGGCCACAACCTTGGCTTGCTGTGCATTCCACACACCTTGAGTCCGGCACCTATTGTGCTGTATCACAATTACTTGTTAACCTGCCTGATTTCCCTACTTGACTGCGTCTTACTTGTTCTGTAGCCAACACACCCAGCACAGGGCCCGGCTCACGGCACTTGGCAGGGACAGGGTTAGAACACGGGTCTTGACACAGTAGTCTCTCTACTACCCATTTAGCCACTAGACAGCTACATCTATTGACGTTAGGGCATATGTACGAATAGTTCCTCTAAACCGTATAATTGGGTTCTCTTTTCTGCTTGGTACAGTTTTCTCAATCTTCTCCCTCAAAGTCAGGCTATCAGATTTACTTGTTTCCATCTGCAACTTCTACCCACACTCTTTCTGTCTCTTCCAGTCTGCTGATGCCTGGGAAACCACACACAAGAACAACACATCTGAGAGAGGCTCCAAGGAATTCCTATAAGCAACAAATGAGCTTTGTGGATAGATCTGAGGCACCAACGTCAGCTACTCATGGTCCTTCTTTGATTCTTTCTATTTAGCTGTTTATACTATTATAGTATAAACATGAATATTCCAATTATGGTTGTTTGTTTTGTTTCATTTCCCCTGTGTCCACATGATGCGCAAGGGATACGCTGCTTGGAACTTTCACTTCGTTCACTGAGCTGATTACCTCCAGTGTTTGTTTTGAGATCTTATAAACATGTCTTTAAACTGATTTTGGCTGTTCTGTCCATGTAAAATTCCAGAATGATTATGCCTTGTGGTAAAGAAAATCTAGGCCTTTATTATAGCAGTGACAGAGATCAAGGCCAATGTATTTCAGTAGATCAGAATATAATAATCATACCAAATCATTAGGAGAGAAGGAATCTTAAGAGTGCGTTTGAGTTTGTCCCTTGCAGCGGCGCACAAGAATACAATCCAGCTTTAGCGACCTTTTCAAGGAAAAGACTCCATAAGACTCCTATTCTTTTCTTTACAACATTTACTGCCAGATTTCTTTCATGTTAGAGCCAACCCAAGCTCCCTCTGCCCTTTCTCTCTTGTTCACCAGCTGATCTCATGCACTGTAAAGGAGACCGCCATCCCTCTACAGAGTGCAATGACACAGTCTTCCTATTTGCATACACTTGGACTTTGCAGCCTTCCCCACTTATTTAATCTAAAGCCATGTCAAATAAAACACAAACCTGTGATTTACCTATTTCCTCAACAGAGAAACACTTTTGATCCACAGTATCACCATTGCTAGTTAGCTTGATACAGTAGGGGATCCAAATGGAGGTATAAGATGAATTAAAGTAACAGCTGTTTTCTCCAGCAGAGACATAATCGGGGCATTCTTTCCATTCTTGAGTCCATTCTTGAGTGCTCCTGAAATGGAGGGTAAAAAAGGATGAATTGTTCCCCCAAATCATGCCATAGCTTAAGCCAAAGCAAGGTGCTTGGCAGTCAGAGTCAATAAATTGGGACATGACTATGTTATGAGCAAGTATCTTAGTGGCACCATTTCCAAGAAGTAGCACATCTGTGGACTGATGATCAGTGTCTGTAGACCGATAGAAGGCCATTTGGTACTTCTGCCTATACCAAAAGCATCCCTTCATTGACTGTGTATAATGAACCAGCTCCTAAATTAAGTGATTTATTGGTAGGTACTTCATTACCCCCATTCTGCAGATGAGGGTTCTCAGGCTTACGAAGGTTTAAAAATGTTCCTTTATTAAAATACTGCAGAGAGTCAACCCCCAAACTATAGAGATTCCCAGAGAATAGCTGAGTCTTTAAACCTGGGTATTCCCCCAACTCATGGTGGAAGAAACTGAGGCAGCACACTGATGGTGTTCTGCAGGCTGAGTGACATGGAGATTTGGGTGGCCCTGAAGTGGACAATTGGCTACCGCCCTACTCTGAACTGCTGCATCCTGTGTCCATCTCCCCAAAGCTGTCCATTGTTTGGGGGGGATGGTTTCCTGTTGCCTCGAACTCCTTCCCATTCTCCTGATTTTTTTTCCTTAATTACATGAAGAGCCACGGGAACATTTCAAACATGCTGGACATCCAGGTAACCTTTAAGAAACATGGGAGTCCTAGGATTTTCCCCTCTACTCATAAAAGAGACAAAAGCCATGGACCCAGAAATTAAAAAAAATTCTCCAAACTGAGAAAGCATTTTTCTTCTCCATTTTGTAAATAGAAATGGACATTTAATTATAATATCAAAAAAAGGAAAACAAAAATGGGCTGAACTGAATCAATGTGTTTGCCAGCAGTTCCTTTTTTGGTTTCTCTACAAAGAACAAGTTCATCTTTTCCTATATCTTCGATCAGATAAGAACAAACAAAACAAGTCATGAGGGATAGATGGACACATGGAGAACACTGAAGAAATCAGAAAAGCTACATCTCCATATTTAAATTCTACCATAGAGTTATTCACCTCTATCCCAGTCTACAGAAAGCATCATTTACCCAGATGACTTAGAACAACAGCAGGATGTGTGTCGAAGAAAAAAGAGATGCCAGGAAGTTCACTGTGGGAGGACGTCAGTTTGGGGAAAGGATATTCCCTGATCAGCTGCTAAAGGGGACCTGAACAAAAATGCAGAGCAATCCAAAGATCGCTCAGACTCAAGTCCATCCCAGCAGGAACTGAGCAAACATGTGAGACAATGTGACACAGCTCTCCTCCCATTTCCCATCTGCTTGCCTGACTGAATGACTGAATTCAGCAAGCCCTCACTGGGTGTCTCCAATGCAAGCAGTATGTAAGCATGATAGCTGGCACTAGCACTATGTGGCTATAATGATTAATAAGACTTGATCACTACCTTCAGGCTAGAAGATGACTCAGAAATTACCATCCGAGTACTTTCTTTTTTTGTCTCCTTTATTCAGTATACTGATATTTCATAAGCATTGATTATACATAAAACACCGTGCCAGATATTATGCGGGATTCATGTGAATTACTCCTGCCTCAGGGGAATGACCGAGAAACTGTATTACAAAGCAGTGTGGCTAAGTGTTTACACATCGTACTCACTGGAGTTAGAAGAGGGAATGATTGCTCTGGCTGTTCATGGAAGGCTTCAAGGTGGAGGTAGTGTTTTTAGCAATCTTGAAGATGGGTACAAGTTTAACAGATGGCAATAGGGAAAGGAAGAGAGGGAACAGAAGGCAATGGAATCATTGGGAAAAACTTTCTTAAATTAGAATTGCTACTTAGGTGGGGTAATTGATTATTTACTTACTCTTCACTAGGCTATCGGCCGAGAAGGGGGTTTACAAGTCCAGGAGACATAAAGCCAGGTAATCTGTGGCTGAGGGAGAAGCGGGTAGGAATGACCTTGTGTCGGCTGAGGTGCTTGGGGCTGGCAGGCCAGACTGTGGAGGTCTGTGAGCATCACCCCAGGGGGATGGGTGCTGGGCAGCAGTGGACAGCAAGGACCCTGCAGGCTGTGGGAAGGCAGGATGAAGAGCTGGGAGAAGACACATGTTTCCTTCTTTACAGCTGTTTCCCAAGTTTGGCACTAGGAGGAAAGTTGTGTAACATCAGGGGGTCCTTGAGACAGCTGCTTGTCAGCTGTTGGAAAGAACTTGGGATTAACATGGACAGTGAACTGTTGCTTAATTTCTGGTTGAGATTCTCAGAAGCTGCATACTCTTGGATGAGAGGGAGATTCAGCTCCGAAGGGAAAATTAAGTGGGTAGAGGGTAGAAGGAAGAATCGTGTGTATTGTGCGTATGTGTTTAGAATAGGAAAAAGATAAAAAAGAACTATCGATAGGTGGGTCATTGAACTACGGTATGGTTTGTTTTATCTTGGCTTTCAAACAAAATAAGAGCACAGTAAAGAGAATGGTTTAAGAGATTGCCCAGGAAATGAGGCTTCCATATAATAGTAAAGGACATATCAAATGTATTTAGCATAATTGACAGTATTAAAGTGACTATTAAAACATTCTAGTGCTTAGCAGGTCTGGATTTGTAATAGGGAGGTTAGCTCTGTGTATTTCACACAGTTTCTCAACTTTGGCTTGTCAGCACCCTGGTCCCCATGGGGACTGTAGGAAAAACACTGTTTAGATTGTCCCCAACCCATTAGCTCCACGGAACAAACAACTTAAAGCACTTATCTTAAGCACAATAGATCCGGAAGAGCTAGTTCAAAACACAACTCCCAACCCCCTCCCTCACTAACTGAAGTTGAATTTTATTTTAAATACATATTTAACACTTCTTTTTAAACTATTAAATTTAGAGAAGAAAAAAATGGGGGCTTCCCTGGTGGCGCAGTGGTTGAGAGTCCGCCTGCCAGTGCAGGGGATGCGGGTTCGTGCCCCGGTCCGGGAAGATCCCACATGCCATGGAGCGGCTGGGCCCGTGAGCCATGGCCGCTGAGCCTGTGCTCCGCAACGGGAGAGGCCGCAACAGTGAGAGGCCTGCGTACCGCAAAAAAACAAATGGACTCACAAAACCGATGCTCTGTTGCCTGCCTTCGCTGGGTTGAATTTCTCTACAGATGACCAAAGCCCATTTATGGAAGCTACTCCCTACACTTAAGTGCTCTAGGTTTGCTCCCAGACTGGCTTGTGACATACCGGTGAGAACTATAGCAAGAGCCTATCAATAAAAATCAGAATAAAGAGCAGAAGAAATGCTTTCCACTCAAAGGTAACCAACTGGAAGAGAAAAAAAAAAAAAAAAAACAACATCATTTATGTTCTAAGGGCAACTGTTTTCATTATCTCCAGATCATGCGTTTTAGGCTTAAAATTTAACATATTCCTTAAAAAATGAAAAGAAAGTAAAACTGCTCTTTCTCCTTTCTAATTTCCCCCACCACCTTACATGGAAAAGAAACTTTCTTTTCAAAAGCTGGGGTAATTTGGGGAGGGGGTTTGGTGGGGTTGGGGGAGAGAGAATCTTTGAGACTGAGTCTTCACATGCCCACTTCTTTGAAAACAAGGCATCTGCAGGCAAAAGGCTGAGAGCAGAGCATGCTGACAGGCTCCTCTTTTTGCCAGGCCTGTGATTTGCATTCTTGCTGAGTCCCCTCCAAGCTCAGAGGCTGAATCGGGCATGGTCTCCATCACAGGGTGGCACAGACTGTTCTGAATTGGCTGCCTCTTCCCCCAGCTCACCTGGCCAGGAGCAGAGCCAGCCAAGCCTGCAGCTGCCTCTGGGCCCGTGCTCGGGGCCTGACGTGTTTAGATTCCCTTGTGCTTTAGCTACCAAGGCCAGGCCGGGAGTGCATCAGCCCCCTCCTTCTCCTCCCCGCCTCCAGTGCTCTGGCTCTGGATGACATCATGTCACAGTCTCATCTCTGTATCAGGGACGGGGAGTCATGATTCTATAGTCCCAGGAGTTGCCTGGGAACTGAATTCTAAGAAACAATGACAAGAGTCAGAAAATGCATTTGTATTTTCTGCTTTGTGTAAGTGGGTAACATGAAGGCAACACATTTGTACTCTAATTGGTGCAGTCCTGGTAATGTATATTCCTGATACTCCTAATTCCCTTAATTCTCCCCTTTCCAGAGACACCAGGCTGGGCGCTCATGTTATTTTGGCTAAGATATTCAAAATAGTTAAACGCTTATAGAGAAAACACAAAACACTGATTTTGCCAGTTTGGTAGGCCCTAATTATGAGGTTGTACTTAGGGGGTTTGAGGATGTCACAATTTCTTCCCCTGGGATCCCAAACTCTACTAGGACAATAATTGATGACATCTTTCTGCATAGATCCAAGACTTTCCCCCACCTCATCACACTTTTAGTAGCATCTCTACTGGCACAGGGCTGGCTTTGGACTAGGGATGCTGAAAAGCCTGGGCTGTGCTGAGAAGGCCTGGAGGCAAAGGTATGTGGCCCTGATGGATGAGGGTAAGGGACAAATATATATTTGTGAAGGCTGCATCCTTTTGGATCTTTTTACTCAGGTTCAAATTTGGTGAATATTAGGGTGGTGAAAATCTGTTTTCATAAAGTGGGCCCAACTGCTATTTCTCTCTTTATTTTAGTTAGTTGTGCCAGTATGAATAACTTATTTTGTTTTGATTGAGCTCTAAGCTGCTGAAGCAAAAGTATGAAAATTGAACCTACTAAATCTCTCTTCATTTAACAATAATTTCAGAGGATATTCAAAAGTGTTACCAGACATTTTCGCTTCCTTTCAAAAGTGTTACCAGACATTTTAGCTTCCTGTCCAAATGTATGTATACAAATCAGCTTTGTCAGCTGGCCCCTACCTCTCTGCAGTATCAGCCTCGCTGGGGAAAAAAGTGCATTTGGTGCCCAACCGTCTCATCTCTGTGTGCCCTTTGGGGTACATCTGAGAGACTTCTCACACACCTGGAAGGTGACTAAGGCCAGTCCTAGTTGCTAATTCAAAGTATTTATTTGCAAATTAAGCATCCAGCTCTGCATTAAAAAATGGTCTTATAGCACATCAATAATCATAAGCAGTAAAGAATCAAAAATCACTTTTGTAGCCCAGCAATCAGAATTCTATATTATTTTAAATTATTATCCCGCTACCAATAATAGGAATAGCAGCTACCATTTATTCAGTCCTTACTAGGCTTGTCACCAAGCACAGTGATAAGTGTTTTTCATGGATTAGTTAATAGAACCCTCACAAGAAGCCATGTGGCAAGGTCTATTATCTCCATTTTGCAAATGAGGCGGCTGAATTGTTGACAGACTGACTAATCTGCCCAGCACCACTCTCTGAGCGAGGGCCGGAGCCAGGCTGAAATGCGAGATGGTTGGCCCTGAGCTCATGCCCTTAACTGCCTGCTGCCTCTACCTTTCCTTTCCCCGCTCCTCTGGGGGATTGAAAGCACCATCCTTGGACAGATGACCACCACCAGATCAGGGGTCTCCACTAATCTTGCATCTTGGCAAGAAAAGAGGAAAAGAGGAGATGATAGAGTGTTTGAGCCTAAAATTTTAAAAGCAAAAAGGTACAACATGAGAGTAAACAGAAATGGAAATCGTGCCAGGTGAGGAGGGGTAAGAAATAAACGACTCGGGTGGTGATCACGTTGGAAGATCTTTGTTTCACTCTTCCCGTTATTTTATAGGACCATCAGTAAAAATGGAAGAGACAAGTATCACAGTCCCTCACTGAATGAAACTAATTTAACAGGGACACAGTCTATTTTCTACATAGGAACCAGTCTTTTAAAACACACATCTTTAAAAAAACCCCTATGGCTTCCCACCACAGAGAAAGTAGGCTGCACCATGGCCTGCAAGGCTCGTCTCAGTCTGGCCCTGCTAACCCTCTGACTTCTCCCCCATTACTCTCCCTGTCTTCCACCTTGTACCATCCGGCCTCCTGCTTTCTTCCTACCTGCCACATTGGCCTCAGGGCCTTTGCACTTGCAATTTCCTCTGTCTGGACAGTCTTTCCCCCAGATACTCACATGGCCTCTCTCACCTCATTTACGTCTCCGCTATAATGCACCACAGAGAGGCCTCCGATGACCTCCTCATTTAAGATGTCATCTGAGCTCCTGACATACACACACACACTCATGCACACTCACTTTGTTCACTCCCCCATATGCTCACGCACATTTACACATACAGACACTCATGCACAACCACACCCCCCCACACTCTCACACATATTCACACGTGCATACTCACCCCCCTTCCCACATTCATGCAGTCACACTTGTACCCACTTTTACACACTCACACACATTCTTGCACTCACAAACATGCTCACTCATACCTTCACACACTCTCAAGCACATGCATATATTTACACAGTGCTAACACTCTTTCTGGCTTTACTTTTCTTAACCATGTTGCCAGCTGACATTTAATTTTTTAATTAAAAAAATTTTTTGTCTGTCTTCCCCCACTGGAAACAAATCTCCATGAGACCAGGGACTTTATCTTTTTGTAATCACTACTGTAGCTCCAGGGCCTAAAACAGTACCCAACATAGAGTAAGGGCTTAATTAATATCTTTGAATAAATGAATGGGTGAATGCACTTAGGTCATCAAAATAGGTTATTTCCGTTCCTACCCCTGCATGTCACTCAATACGTTTTAATGAGAAAGTCCGTAGAAGAGAAAAGTCAGAAAGGCACGAAGCCTGCACCTTCTGATATAGAACAGCTGTATGGATCCTGGGCTCTGTAAACCGTGATGAACCCCATCTGTCCAGTGGCATGAAAAAGTCTCTAGTTCAGGTGAACGGCACTTGGTGAATTTAGGCTTCCCGGAAGAATCTGCAGAATAAAAAGAAAAGGCAAGGCATGATATCGGGAGGGTAACAGATGGTCCTAATGAGACACATACTTAAAGCGGTCAAGAACAAGCACTTCTTCTAGATATGCTGTTTCCTTGGGTCACAGCTACAGAACTGCTGGCTGCCAGTTATTTCTCTGTCAGTCCCGATTCCAGGGACAAACCATTTTGTCTTTATTTCCGACATTATTTCTTGGGGCCTGTTTAAGAAACCAGAGCTAGAGATGAGGATTTGGGCACAGGTAGTTTATTTGGAGGGTGACCCCAGGAAAGGGAAAGAGGGACGTAGGGAAGGGAAAACAGCTAACAAAGTGTCTGCTCTTCGGCTCGTGCCCATAGTGGCTGACAGGGGTCCAACCCCACAGAGGTCCCTCTGAGAAGCTGTGAAAAGTGTGCCTTCCCTGTGTCCTCGACAATGATGGGAGCCCAGGGCGTTTATCCACCAACTCCCATCGGTGGAGGGCTGCCCTGGAGGTGTTAATGCCACTGAACTTCTAGGCTGTACCTGCCCATGGGCTGAGGGTCCGCACCTGACTTCTGAGAAACCTAGGCAGGCACCCGAAGTGTGCCCAGCAATGTGCATGGTGGCAGCTGCCCACCATGGATGGCTGCGTTGGGCCCCAGAGAACCACAGAGGCTTTTCTCTTTTTACAGATGTTTGATAAAGTCACTAATGTTTGCATTCTTTTAAAAGATTCAGCCAGTAAACTCATTAAATAGGTATCATTAAATAGATACCTACTTTCAACAACTTGTGCATATATATACGTGTCAATTCTAATTTGGGAAGTGGAGAAAGACTCCTGTGTGTTCGGATATTAGCCAAGCTCCTCTGCATCTATGAAAACTGCAGCTATGAATGTGCAGCAGGTCTGAGGTAAAACTAATTTCTGTTTATCAATTTTCATTATTCTTCTGACTTCCATGGCCATTTTGGAGACTGTGGTCAATGTTTATGAACCCACTCAGAGCACTGAAGCACTGGAGCCTGTGTAATCGATTACAAATGAAAAAGGTGTATGTTTCTTTAGGCAAGCAACTATTATACAGTAGAGTTCCTGGAAAAGTTCCTTTTTCTATTAGCTGAAGCACTGGAAGTATTATCTTTTAGATCCTTCCAGAAAATCAGTGCTAAATAAACCACATTTAAACCACAACTAACATGTTTTAAAGCCTGCAGGGTTGAGGGGAGGATTGCACATTCTGACTGTTTTTTTGAACAGAATGTGAGAAGAGGAAATACACCAGATTTCCAATTGAGAGATTTGTGATGTAGTCTCAGCTCTGATACTATGTAGCCTTGAACGTCTCAAGTCATTTGGACCTCAGTTTTCTCAATAGAGAGGCTGGAATAGATGAGATCCAAGGTACTTTACAACTTCACTTTTACAATTAAGTGACATATACAACCACTAATAAAAATCTACAGAATCAAAACATAATTTTGGCATTGGCGCCCAAACCACCAGAGAACACCAGATGCAAACACCATCCAGGTTCCTATACTCCCTGTGCAATGAGCCTGCCACATAATGGCAAGAATAATAAACCTCATATGAAAACTTGAAACATGAAGGGAAAAAAAAAAACTTTGCTAGCTGGGGGAAAAACAACTTAAAAAAGAATTAATTTGAAACACATTTTGCTTGCTTAAACTTACTATCCTTGTTTATTCTGTTTCCTTTTAACTCCAGATATATAGAAAGCCCCATATTGTCCTGCATTCTAAGTAAGAAATAGGAAATTCATGGTTGTGGTGCTAATGTGATGAAATACGTGCCCACAGAGGAATCCCGATGTAGGCGCAGTGCAGCAAAGCTACTTTTTTAATGTCTGTCTTTCACTGCCTGCCTTCCTTTCCCTATCTTCCTTTCTTTCTCCTTCCTTGCACCCTCCTTCTCTCCTTCCTTCCTTCTTTCTTTTATGGCTGGGTATGTGCTGCTAGGTGCTGTAGCAGACAGCCTCTCAGATGGCCCCAAGGATCCCTGCCTCCTTCAATCCTCCTTGAAGGATCCCTATCCACAACCTTGAATATTTCCTCCCCTTGAGTAACTTGCCTCGAACCTATGGAATATGATAGCATTGAGGGGATGTCACACCTGTGATTAGGTTACAAAGGATTGTGACTTCTGTCTTGCTAGCTGACTTAGTCTGTTGCTGAAGCAAGCTGCCATGTTAGTGAGGACCACAGGGCAAAGAATGGAGAGTGGCCTCTGGTCCACAACCAGCAAGACGTTGAGGCCCTCAGTCTAACAACCCTCCAAGAACTGAGTCCTGGGAAACAACCATGAAAGTGAGCATGGAAGCCGATCCTTCCCCATTTCAGACTTCGGATGAGACCACGGCCCTTGCTGGTACTTTGAGTGCAGCCTTGTGAGAGAATCTGAGGCAGAGGACCCAGCTGATGGATTAATTTGGAGGATGGATAGGGAAAAATATTACCCATAGTAAATATCTGAAGGCTGTTGATATATTGATATAATAAACAAATTCAGTATATATCAGAACTTCAGAGCTGTGTTTAAGAATGACATAAACTACTTTTCTTAGCGAATGAATATGTCACAGTGAGTGTGGGAAAGTGGGTAACTTCTCTTCTGGAGGCAAGAAGAACTGTAATACAACTGCTGCTTCTCTCTTGCTCAGACACCTCCTGCTTCAGCTGTTATCACTGTGGCTGAAGACATTCAACCTTCCTCAAGTCCAGTTCCTTTGAGTCATGCTCAGGTTTCCCAAGTCTGAGAGGTGCTGGCCTAACCTTAAAATGAGCACCTGTCTATTTGATCTGAAAATCCCAGTAGAAACTTGTTTTGTGTTTCACTATGAAGGCAATAAATGGTTATCATACACTCTGAGGTCCTCTCTGATGAGCCACACACAGTCATTTCTAGACTAGAAATACTTCCTACTCTCTTGTGATGTTTTTTTAGCCTAAACCTACAGACAGAGTAGTACACTCTTAAAAACATCTCTTAAAAGAATGTTTCAATGGACAAGTGAAGCCACCTTTGGCCCTAAAGTAATTCTTAGAGAAATGAGTATTCCATTCAAGTGGTCCCACATCCTGAAGAAATGTTAATGTGTTAACACTGATCAGCATTCAAAAATCTTGACCATAACCTTGGGATTCACTTTTATTCTCTCTCTGGAGCTTTCATTTTGAAAATAAGGATTGTAGTGACATATTTACTTTGTTATCATTACTGTGTTTCATACATCATGCTACATATTGTTACATCATGTTGAATATTTATGTAATCTCCTTTAATACTGCTAACAGTTCTAGAAGGTGGGTACTATTTCCACTTAGACATGGGTGAAACTGGAGTTCCGAGAAGTTAAGTGAGTTGCCTGTGTTTATATTGCTGTTGTTTGCAGAGGTGGGATTAAAACACAAATCCTTGTGATTTCGTCTAAACTCTCAGCACTAGTAAAAAATAGCTTTTTTGTTAGACAATTCTCTACTGCTTCTCAAGAAATTCCCAGAAAGGAAAGATGACCAGCTCAGATGTGCTCTTAACTAAACTCTCAGAAATCTGTAACCTGGCAAGCCCTAAGAGCAGCATTTCCTAACTGTGACTGCACATCGGAATCAACTGAGGAGTTTTAAGAAAATACTGATGCCTTGGTCTACTCCCAGAGGCTTGACCCAATCTGTCAGGGGTGCAGCCTGGGTATTGAGATTTTTTAAACAATAGGTAGCCCAGGTTGAGAGCCACTGATGTAGAGAAATAAAGTTATACGTAAGCACTGAAAAGTCAGCTTTCCACATTATTAGGTTCTCTGATCAGTTCTAGCAGAGCTGCAGATCAAGAGTGACCTCCTTTGAGCCAAAGGTGCAACCTCCTTTGAGCCAAATTCTGGAGGGTGTGGGAAGGATGTGAATTAATTATGACCTTAAAAGAGTAGAATAACTGTTCACAATGAACGCTTGGAGAACTAAGAGATATTTTAAATATATGTGTGAAACGATACATCTAAATGCTAAACCTGCCCAAATTTCTGATGGGCTATAAACTGGTAACAAGAACTAACTAACTAAGAATAAGTTAAACTGATATTCCTACTGAAATTATTCTCTAGAAATCTTGAAGAGAGTTTTACTAAATTCAAGTTTTGAAAAGTCAATGGAATGATGTTATGTTCAAACCTACGATGACAGAGGGACGGCATCAGAGGGGCTGGGAGGCGCCGCTGGTGGCAGCACATCACCTTTGACAGTGACCGTGCCTGATTTTGTCAGCCAGGTTGGCTGGGCCTCCTTTCCTGCCCAGTGGCTCTCCCCTTGGAGGAACATGATCTTCCTGGGCCGTACACAGACGTCGAACAGCTGTTACATACTGAGATAGTCATCTGCCTTCTTACCTTCCGTTCTCTCACCAGTCATGCTTTTCTATCCTCAACTCATGACAAAGCAGAAACAAAAGCCAAACGAAATCACATACAAGTTCCCAACGTGTGCTTGGGGGTTTGGGGTTAGAAGAGAAGGAAGAAGAGAAGCAATTGAAGTGGGAGGGGAAGGCTGGAAGGAAAGGAGCCTTTCGGAGGAAAGGACAACCTTCTTCCGAGAGCTCCAGGTCGTGGAGGGGAAGGCACTCAGCAGCCATTTGCCCTTAAATGTACAACCTCCACTGCAGCCCGTCGTGTGATTCAACTGCTGTCAACAGTCCTGGCCAGTTGTTATCACCCCTGAACAGAGAGGCTGGGGACTTAATACCTTGTGAAGAGACAACCTTGCCCTCTGACCAAAGTCTAACTGAACACAACCAGTTGAGAATTTCCTTTTGAGTTGGGCAGCATAGACAAACAGTAAGGCAAGGAAAGAAAACAAAACAATAGTCCTTAATATAATTAAGAATTAAAACTTGCAAAGACATACTAAAGAAAACAATTTTATAGAAGAGATAAATGAACTTCATAAATAAATAAATGGAATGGGCCAAGTGGTTGAACTGTATTTCTAAAATGCTACCTTTTATTT